ATCAGTACAGCCTCCTACCCGCCATGTTTTGAATAGTCATGTGTCTAATTTGCAAGACAGATGACAAGAAGAAATATATGCAATCATTAAAATTTTACCACTCTTTCCAAAAGCCCAACAAACGTCCAAAAAGCATCAACTTCATTTTGCATTATAACAAGCAGAGGAGAAAGGAAGTCGCTCATTCCCTGTACATAGCCTGCAAAACAAAATATTTTCATTGCGGCTCCGGAACTCTGTATAAAACATGAAACGACTGTGGCACAGCTAGCTTAAAAAGGGCTCTAATTCCAATCCTGCTTTTTAATTCTGTGCCCTTCTTAACCGTAGTGCTTCACAACTTCCTAACCTAGTTACTTGCTTTTTAACACAATTTAGCTATTTTACTTCGCGTCCATGTCCCGCTGATTAAAACCTGTGCCGCTTTCGCAAATTTCACTTTTTCTTGCAAAATTTTGAGGCAACTTACTGACTTTTTCATCCCCCGTCCGTCCTCACTTCACATAACTTCGTGCATGTTTTCTTTCAGTACTAGAGTAAATTCAGCGCTATTCTACAGTTAAAGCAGACAAGCTGATCGCTCTTCTCCCTCTCCCCTTATTAGGGCATGCCACCAACACACAAGCATAAGGGTACTTACCAAGGTCAAAATTATACATGCAATAGGTCATTAAGATGTCATTGAGGAGCGTCAAGTTGCTATTATCACTGCCGCCAAAGAAGACATGCGTGCGATCGGTGCGCGATACATCCTTCTCTGCAAAATTTTTATACTGTCCAGATGCTAATCCAGAATTCTTTGTTCCAACACACAATATCACTCATTTGCCTTGTTTCAACAGAAAAGAAAGACTAGTGATGGCAGTCCATGTCACATCATGGCTACCGTTTCGAGCTAGTTTGATGAAAACTGTTTGAAATAAAAAGCCATTTTTCCTTACTTTCGCTAACTGAAAATAAGGATAATTTGCATAACATGTTAAAGATTTTATTAAAAAACATAAGCGACAAAAACTGCGCTCAAAACAAACTGCACTAGATTTTGATACTTTAAAATCGCGATTGCCTCGCTCTGGCTAATTCAGGCGATCAACTATCTAGCACAATACCCACCTATCAAGGCTTTCTTTGCTGCAAATTCGCTAAAACGACTTTCCTGATCCTTGCTTATTGTTTTCCATTGCAATTTCATACGATAATAATCCTCGGACAATACTTTGCGAGCCTTCAAAAATAATTTAGTCGCTTTCATAGATACAAGCAAAATCGACAAACCATGAAAAATAGTAAAGAACTAAAGAGTGAAAATTTAGCAAAAAAAAAAAAAAAAACGAGAGTTTACCAATAAATAAAAGAAACCTGCACAACAAA